CATCGGAGGAGTCTTTGGTTTTGGACGTCCTTTGTTGCGGCGCTGTGACGTATGCGGCCGACAAATACACGTAAAGATTATTCTACTCTATTCTTCATCATAAAATGATCATAGTATAACTCTGACATGGTGGAGGGCGATATTATTTCATTCATGGAATGCCAATCATTTTTAGGGATGCACGATATATCGGCATTAATATCGGTATCGGTCCGATATTTAAAACCGGGCCGATATTAACGTCCGACATTGATTTCCTACTTTTTAACTTTGTGTTTGTTTTGAGAGCTGGTTGGTTGAGCAGCATCTGCTTGATCATGATAGTGATATTGATGCTACACAGCCAGGAATAACTGAAGTAGGGCCATGTCAGAGGTCTGGTTGTTTATTTACCGTATCAAAAAAAAGACCCAAGTGTGTTTGTGCGTATATGTATAATATAATTTGTGTGTTTGTGTAATATCAGTAAATATCGGTTATCGGCCATAACAGCAATAATTATATCGGATATCGATATCGGCTGAAATTTCCACATCGGTGCATCCCTAAGATGTGCTGATTGTGCAGAAATGAATAAGAGGGAAACATAAGGAGTGTTTTTAAGGTTGAACATGAAMCCAAACAAAGGCTCAGGTTGTGAGATGACCATGTGCAACAGGTTTGTGTCAGGAAACACATCTTACCTTACTCCTGAGCTGACCAGAGGTCGACACTTTCCGGATCAGTTTCTGGGGCCCTTCCTGCTCYGCGTCGCTGTCGGAGGACTCATCCACACCGGCGACAGCCCCGACCACATGGGCATGGACCCCCGCCGCGGACGGCACGGTCCCGGGCTTGTCGGGCTCCTGGTGATAAAAGCAGCCGGGATTAGCCATGATGTGCCCGGCCGCCGCTCCCTTCCTCTGCCGCTGCTGCAGACGGGAGGCGTCTTTCCTCGCCGTCATCTCCCTGCGTCTCGTCGGTAACGGATCCTGAGCGGCGCGGCGCGGCAGGGACAGGCTTCCCCCGCCGTTAAGAGGCTCCAGACCCCGTCCACAGGGCGGTCTGTCGGTGGTCTGACACAAAGACTGACTCACTACTGTTTTCCTTGTTTTTTCAAACCAAAACAGCCTGATGCTCAGGAATAAAACTATAAAAAATGTAAAGTTATCAGGATACAAATAAGACTTACTTCCTTAATTGTTTCTATGTTTAATCCAATTAACCCATGAGCAGTTATTTCTTTTTGTTGTTGTTTTTACAACAACACAAACACAATGGACAGTCCAACTACCACCCACACACTTCACATGTGTCTAATCCAATCTGTGGACACTTATCAGTCCTTAAAACACACAACAAACACAGGGTTCAGTTTGCCCACAGACATGTGACTGAGTGGGGGAATTGAACCGCCAACCCTYGCATTGGATTCCTCTAACCACTCATAAACAGACGCCCTGAATAATTATTTTTGTATATTTATATAAATTACTTGAAGCAACTATCGGATATCTATCGTGTTTCTGTCAAAATAAAACTCGGAAAAGTCGCAAACCGACTAACCGATTAACCGACTAATCGACTAACCGATTAATTGATTAACCGACTCCAAATCTCAGGTGAAGGCACWACGCACGAGCAGCCAGAGGAAACACCTTCGAAGTGTTTAAAAAGCGGTGAATTCACGTGTTTCAGTCGAACTTTTCGCTTTTCTTTGGTGTAAAAAACCGATGAAAGCGAGAAGCGGCGGGTTTATAGTTTCCACTCCACTAACCAGTTCCTCCCAGCAGGTCAGGCTGTGGCTGTACTGGTACACATCCTCCATAATCCCAGAGAGACGTGGCCGTCCGCTGCGGCCGGATGAGAAGCWGGTCAGCGGGAGAAGGTGGATGAATTCAGCCTGTTTTCCTCCGGTCCGTCCGTGCTGACTCCCCGCCAGCCGTGTACACACCGAGRGGAGCAGGAGCTGCTCCTCCTCTGCTCCTCCGTTTGCTTTTATTTTGAAGGGCTGAGCTTATCAGCTGCACGTGATACATGTCAAAGGAGCTCATAGCGGTTTGTCACCGCGCAGAGTGTGGGATAAAAATAACTTTATATAGACCTAATTATACACAGAACCGCTTTAAGTTTACACACTGTTGGCTTTGGTCTCTACTGTATCACAACCAGGGGCGGAACTAGGTTTAAGGACAAGGGGGCCTTAGCCCCCAGGAGACCCACAGCATATATATATATATATTTTGTATATTATATATTTGTATT